AGCTCAGGGTGATGAGGCTGCCGATCACTTTTTTAAAGTTGTTTGGGTATGTTTGCTTGAGTAATGCGATCATGAAAATAGAAAGTCTGCTGAAGGGCAGGCTGATGAGAAACTACACCAGGTAGACTTTGCTTTACGCAAACAGTGCTGTAAAAACTAACGGCTTCTCCGATATTTATTATAAATGTTAGTACTGATCTCTTTACAATGCTGCACACTCCTGTATTGGAAGCTTATTTTAATCGTTTCGCAACTGTAATCCTGTATCAGTTTCCTATAATTTAAATGGAGAAAAACATCAAGATAAAGGCTTTATTATTAACAGACCAGATAGCACCAGAAATTATGTGACTATATATGAATATCGAAATACGTCTTCACTTGTCGGAAAAAATTATGTTGAAAGTTCTAGCTTAAGTGTTGGCACTTTTATGGGGGGGAAATCAATTTTAAAACTAAGACTTCCATGTATAACCAGTAATTTTAAATTATGTGAAATATTTTAAATTTGTGAACTCGTAATTACTATTTTAAATGATTCAGTTTCTTGAGAATGGTAATTGTATAAAATTGCTCTTGCAGTTTTATTTTCAATACACCGTGCCTGTAAACCATGGATATCCCCTTTGTAAAAAGACATTGTAGATAATTGAATGCTTGATTCTAGAAAGGTCATTAGTTTCTTGTTACACATTTTGTTAGTCTGGTTTTTGTCGCTTATTGGGTTTAATATTGTTCTTGAAAATAGTTGATGATATGTTATGTATAACTTTTCTAATAAAAGTTGTGTTTCAAGCTGTACATTTTGGAATATACTCGGTGGTATAAACCAGGAGAAATGTCAACTGAGAAAAGGTTAACATGACCAAATATTTAATTTGCCTTACCTAGAATAACCTATGCTAATTGAGGTGTTTTGTTTTTAAGTTTAGTAATCACGTGAATAACAGTGACCATTATCCAACCACTCGTGTTGAAAGACTGCACTATATTAAGGCAATTCTAAATTTAGGCGAGGTGCTTAAGAGTCCATACACGACAAATTGCTCTGCCTTCCTAGAGCTTACATTCTAGCGGGAGGCAAGCCGCAATACGCCTTCATCACTACTGGCATAGGCCGCAGTGTTAGCGCAGAGTAGCCGAAGAAGCCCCTTGGAGAAGGTGCATTTCCAGGTATAGAGAAAGGGAGAGGTCAGCATAGCTGGAACTGTAAAGGCAACAGATGGAGCAGAAGCTGGTAAGATTCCAATTGCCTGTGGCTATCCTCTACGTTGCTGTCCACTTGGGCCACACACCCAGTGAGCCTTAAACAGACCGGCTAGATGGGCCTGTGCCCTGCGGAGTGGCCTGGCCCCTCACTTCCTCGTCAGTAGTAACTGAGCGAATGGAAGGAATGGCAGTGTGTTCGCTGGCACAGTCTTGGGGGAATATTGATGCTTCCAAAAGATGTTTTTACAGTGTGATTGAGAGTTGATTCCTGGCATCATGCCACCACAGCCCGAAGTATGTGTCCACTAGAAGAGACTTGGTACTTGCAGTTAAAATGGACCAGGATTGGGAAGTTCACTCCGCCTTTCAGTCTTAGTATGGTCTTGGTTTTCTCAATTACAAAATTTGGTCTTGAGGTCTTTAAAATCATGGCATAAAGAACAGTGAAGTGTCTAAAACTAGGTATCGAATAAAATGATTTGTGAAAATGTTTAAGACAAGGAACTCCTGTTTTTTGAAACGCGCTATTTTCAGGATGCTGATAACAGCGGGGTGTTAAGGAGCCCGGAGAGACTACTGGGAATCCCTGCTTTGAGCATACTGTCATCGCTGTCTACCGTGTGAATTGCTTATGTGAGCAGTAAATGCTGCCTGCCTCTCAGATTGCAGCAGAGGGTAAAGGCCTCAGAAACTTGTGCTGGTCCACACCCTGTACACACTAGGTCAGGCTTTCTGGCTGTTGCACTTTAAGTCCCCGGGAAGCAAATGGCATGAATAACTGGCCATACTTGAAGCTTTTCGTTTTAAGGTTTAAGATCGCTGTCTTGCCGCCAGTTTGACTACGCAGTGCTAAGTATATGTGAAGCATCCCAAGCTCTCAGAATTCTCGGGATTGGTCTTCTAATTGGTCGCCTGTGATAAAAGCCTAGCCCAAAGGCAGGTTGAGCATCCATACTATGTAGTAGTGTATGAAGGGATCAGCTGGGGTGTCCTCTCAAAATACCACCCGTGAACCTAGTTTGTTGTGTTTGGGGGACTCTTGTACTAAAGCTCTTGGTAGAGATGTCAGACCTTACCTGGATATAAAGCCTGGCTCTGTCAGTCACTGATGGGACCCCAGGTGAACATCTCTCCAAGTCTTTCTCTTCATCAGTGAAATTGTAGAGCAGGCCATGCTTTGTAGGGTTTGTGACGCCAATGGGTATAACTACCTACAAAACATTGGGAGAGCTACATTCTGCAGACCTTTTTATGGTGTTAAAGTCGGTATTCTCTAAAAACTGGAATCCATGTTCCTTAAGTTCATGAAGCAATCCCTGGACCTGGTGGTCCCCCAGGGCTTTAGTAGGGACA